CTCTTCTCCATTACTCCATCCCAAAGATGAATTAGTGTGTGTTTTGTGCATTTCCTGGTCTGTCCCTCCTCCAAACACTAGTCACCCTATCAGCTTTCAGAAAGCATGGCCAAGCTTTGATGGTGAGCCCTGCTTACCGAGAGAGAGAGCTAGCTCTCTGATCTTCGGCAGGGTGGGCCCCGGTGGAGAATTAGATTTCAATCTGACAGCGAGGGAAAACAACATTCACGAAACAAAAAAGTTTCAAATAATTTGGATGGAAAAACAGAGCCCGGCGGCCCGGCTCCTCAGAGCAATTTCCTGGTTCTCCATGGTTCAGACGTCGATCAAGGCAACTAGCCCTACTCCTCGGCACTGAGGCTGCGTTCAGGCCTTTTTGAATCCCTAATCTACAGTCCTGTGAAAAGTCTTTTCTCATGGGTTTTTAATGGTGCTTTATTTTTTTAGAAGGCTAGAGTTATCTTTACTGCATTTTTGTTACACTGTTAAAATGTAATTACATACTTGCATAATTAATTACACTGTTAGCAGCAAGTTACATTTCTATTTCTACTCTTTATAGTCAGGTTCACGTTTGCATGTCCGACTTTTGGTTTGTTTTGATATGAGATAAACAGAATAACATGGCAAAAAATAATAAATTAAATAGAAAATTATTTTTTTATTTCTGCAAAACAAGACTATTCACAATAACTTTTAATCAAATTCAAACCATAATAAACCATCCTTTTCTACCTATAGAGCATGATGCAAATTGAAAGTGTAGATTGTACATTTTTTTCTAAATTTTGTTGCTTGATTAATTAAGCTACGAGTGAGAGATTAAATCATATTATAAGGTAATCATAATAAGGTAACAATCACATGACAAATGACAAGCATAAAAGCTTATTTCAATAGCAGTGATCTGCCAAAAAGGCTGTTGTCGGCTCAGATATTGATTTTTTTTCTAATATTGGGATGTTTTATGACACTTTGTGGTGAGACAACATTATAACAACTGACCTGATATGAACTTAAATTCAAACAAAATAAATGACATAAATGCAATATTTGTAGTTTTCTTTATACCATGTGACTCTCAAAATATGTGGAAGTGAACTATAAAAGCTTTTAGTAATTATGTCAGCGGTGTAGTGGTGTTATTGTCCTAGTAGTGATGTTGTTATTCACACACACACACACACACACCCACACACACACACACACACACACACACATCATCTTAAACGCTCATCCTTCTGGGTCGCAGTGGGGTGCTGGAGTCTATCCCAGCTGTCATTGGGCGGAAGGCAGGATACACCCTGGACAGGTCGCCAGTCCATCGCAGGGCATGTTGTTGTTCAATATAACATTAACGTTGTAATGTTTTACATTTGAATTACATATCAATACTCGTACCCTGTTTGCCACTGCAATGGTAGATTGACCTAATACGTTGGTTGGAGCTAGCAGATTTTAACAATTGTCAGTGGTGTTACAGTCAGTGGTGTTACAGTCAGTGGTGTTACAACTTTACTGATGTAATTCAATAAAACATTACATTTTACACTTCAATTGCATATTAACATTCATACCCTGTTTGTCACTGCAGTGGAAGACTGACCATCATACTTGGGGCAGATTTTACAGATAGTAACTTTGTCAGTGATGTTACAGTCAGTGCTGTTAGAAGGACTGTAATTTTTTGGGTAGATTCAGCTTTAAGGCTCAAATTCATGTCTTCTTTGGTATGAAAAGCAGGTTTTGCCTAAATAATAATGACCGTTTTATTTTCTAAACTATTCTTAAAAGCACATATGAATCTCTTGGTAACACTTTACTGTTGATCACGCTCATTCGGCTACATGACACCTATATAAGCTCATCATGACAACTTATATAAACCTAGATAAGCATTAATAAAGGCACCGTCTGTCATAAAGGCTACTTTTGTCAACTTTGAGTCAGTTGACTTAACACCATCGTCAGATTACATTGATGTTTTCTGACACTGGGTTGTCATGAGACTTTTTTTTAAGGAAATGACGTTATAACGACTGACCTTGTACCTTAGTGTATATCATGGTGACATAATTCTGATGATGTGACATAGCTTAAAACTTTTAAATAACAAAATAAAACTTACTTTATCGAAAGGCCACAGAAAACGCTAACTAGTGACCTACATTCATTCATATGTTCAGATACAGTTAGTTCTGTCAACATGATATCAAAGTTGATATTAAGTACCCTGTATTACAGCTATTATTACAACCTATATGTCAAACAATGCCTATAAGAAGAAGTGTGTATAAATGTTTATGTGGGTTTCATTCAGTTGTCGTGAAGGACTTAAGTAGGTGTCATGAACACTGACCTGCAGTGAAGTCAATGAACTACACATTAATGTCTTGATAAATCGCTGAGGACAGCACTGTATTCTTTTATGTGCCTGATTTGCGCTGCATTGTCCTCTGAGACTTCTTTAGATCTCACTCAAGGCCGTGGTGCATTATATCTGTCGGTAAGGTACAAGAGCTATTGATCTTATTAGCATTCGACGAAGAACCTCTGTTCTCCTGAGGAAATGGCTTTGGTGGTTGAAGAAAGTGGCATTTCAGGTTACAGGGGAGGAATGACTGTAGAGAAACAGTTAACAGAGGGAGGCTGGGTGGCTGGGTGAGATGGAGGGATGAAGGAGACTTTGGGGGGTGGAACAGTAAGGCACTTCAAAGCTTTGATGTTGTGAGCTTCTAAATGAAGGCGACTGAAGGTCCTGGCTAATAGGAGCCCATGGGGAGATGAGAGAGTCTACAGCCGACACAGTTGTGTGGGAGCAAGCGTGTGTGTGTGTGTGTGTGTGTGGTTAAACAGTGTGTATTGATCTTTTATGGATTTGTTTTTATAGGTATCTGCCAGTTCTTCTCTTTGTAGCCGGTTGAAACCCACACTTGAGGCAACATTGCTACAAAAACATACTAGCGCAAGTGTGTATGTTAAGAAGCGGTAAATGAAAGTGTGTGTGCAGACAAGCAAAACAAAACATTTAACACCGTCAAAGCATATCAGGCCACACGTTTAACAACCCCACAACCTCCTGCCCTTATAACCCTGAAAACCCTAAAGCTGCTGTAGAAGGTGAACGTAATTGCTGTCACGAGTACTATTTGTATTTGTTTTCTATACAATTCCTTTTACATGGGGAGCTGAGGTATTTTACCAAATTTTAACCAATTTTACCACAGGACATCTGTAATGTAAGTCTCCATGGCAACACATTGTAAACACATACCGTGTTTGGAATGTTTATCAGTGATAAAAGTGGTGCTTCACTCGGTGCCATTCATTTGAATATCTAGTCTTCTCAATGTAATTGATGCTTTTGGCGATTCATGCGTTTTTGGTTGAAAATTGAAAAAAGTGAGCTCATTTTATTATTAATGACTGATACTGAGCTAACTTGACTGCTATGTTAGCTAGGTAGCTAAACATAAACTTTCTGATGTAAGCTCACCTAAGGTAAAAGAAACTGGACACTGGACATTGTTGATATACTAGATCACATCATGAAAGAGAAAGTTTAGTAATTTGGTTGCAATGGTGGTTGTATTGAGGAGCATTTGACGTTTTGCTGGATCTTTGTCTCCTCTGAAAAGCTTGGTTGGATTCATGCGTGTTGTGTTGCTAGTTAATGGTAGTTTCAATGAAAGTGCCATTCAATTTTAAGAGATGCTTTTTATGTGGTGCTGTTTTTTGGAAAATGTCTCTACTGCTTAGTTTACAAACTAATTCAATTATGTTTTTAAACATTTAAGTTTTTTCTGCTCTCCACAGGCATTTTCCTGCTCTTTATAGAAATGGTATCATCTGCATTTGAGAAAAATAAGTATGTTCAAAGGATTGAAGTGTAAGTTTTGTGTATGGGTGAATTCTGGTGTTTAATGATAAGCTCTATGATGAAAATGCTTATGGTGGATAGAAACCTTTTCCTGAGGATTTGATTTGATATTTTTGACAGACTTTTCTATTTGCTTGGGGTTATTTTGTGGGTCATTTTAGAGAAGATAAAAGAATTTTTCCTTATGTGGGAGAATGTGGAGAATGTCATCACATGGCAGATTCCTTCACCATTCACTGAAAAACAAGTTAAGCCAATCCTGTCCAAATATTTATATGGAATGCTCATCAAAGAACTAGTCCCATTCCTGATATTTATCAATCCTTTATTAAATAATCATAACAATAATCATCATCATAAAAAGCACATTTTTTTTCTGTACAAAGCCTCCAGAGATTCACTGGAAGTCCAACCAGTGCTGTGATTCTTGAGTCTTTTTCGAGTGTTTTCAGACAGAAGAAAGCTCCAGAACAGTCTTTTTTTAGCGCCAGAGCACAGGCTGGAGCAAAACTGCTCCAAGGCACTTGGAAAAGTCCCCCGGTCCAGTGGCAGTCTTTTAGAGGAGTGTATTTGTGCAGGGAAGCACAAGGGGTCCATTTCCCCCTGAGCAGTACAAGCCATCACACTAACACTTGCCTATCAGTGCCTCAAGAATGCAGGTTTCCATAATTTCTCTTGGTGAGAGCTCCCATAATCCCACTCAGTGCTCTCCCGTGTCTTGCCGTTGCAGAGGTGATGTATTTCCATGTCAGCAGTGTGTGTTTGAGCATATGCGTATATGTGTTGCCGTGCTTGTCAAAAGATGAGATCCATCTAAGGGGTCTGTGAAAAGATGTACTATGTCTGATTTGGTCTTTTTTTTATTTCAATGAAAACAGAAAGAAGGCTGACATGAGATCCAACCTGATTTATCACTGGGCCTGTCTCCTGTTAACCTTCAGCCTCGCTGCACGATAAAAAGGAAACAAGTTTAAAAGAGGAAAAAATGGAGCGAGACAGGGGAAAGAATAAACAGACGATGTGCGCTTGATCTTAGTCATTCAAAGTCTAAGTGGTTCTCTCTGGTGGTGTTCCTTATGGCTCTATGTTAGGGCCATCATGGATTTAAAAACTAAGCTGATTTTTCTGGTGTACATCTCTGGACATCTGTGGGCCAATTTAGAATGGTCACCATTTCTGTCTCTCGCAACAATAAATGATGAAAAGCCTTTAGTTCATTGCTTCCCATTTACAGCAATCCATAGGTTGCACTGACAAAATTCCCTGTTGTTTTACACAAGAACAATGTGGTCCCCAATTTTCCTAACACACAACCATAGTCACAAGGCCTCAATCTAAACCTACCAAACTCTGCTTGGCTTATCTTAATCAGAACAGGTTTCTTGCCATCCTATTCCATCATTTAAACTCAAAGCGAAACACGAAACAATATCACGGAACTAAACAAGCAAAGGGTTGTGAAGATCCAGTAAGAATAAAATGTAAGATCAATCTAGGCCAATGATGGCCACAAAGAAGAAAAGCATTGACCAGCATTAAGGCATCACATGTCAGGGCCTTTGAAAAAAAAAAAAAATCTCACCAAAGAGTGACCACAAAATCAGCCACATGCCATAAGTTCTGCAATTTTGGAAGATGAGAGCACTTTAAAGTCCAGCCACTCAAATCTACCATAGATCTCCCATTTAAAAATCTAAGCTTTATCTAGATATACATTTTTTGGAAATATGCAGAACACTGATATGTATCGATATCTGTTTTTGAGGCAAAGCTGGGAAGAGTTTCACTAGAGATCCCTCTTAGCAGCCTCTGATATTCAATCTTTGATGCAAACCAACCAGAAAATGGTATCCAGGCGAGCGCTATCTGAGCTGAGCAAGAAACGCCAGTTGGAAAGTAGGGGCTCCAACAGCCGCATCATCAAGCAGCAAGTTGTTCCAATGCCAAAAGGGACATGCATACCAAGAGATGAAGCTTGTTTCTCTGCAAAGAGTCCAACATGGCCATTCCAGGGTCAAATTTGATATGTCCGATGAACATCAACCGGTGGCCTTCAAGCTTCTGTGCAGCAGCGCTGTTGATTGAGCTTGACTTTGTGCTTGATGCCATCGTAGAGCTCAAAGTTGTAGTTCTCCAGGGTGGTGGAGGAGCGCGAGGTCAGGCCTCCATATGAGCAGGTGCAGTACAAAAGCAGGCCAGCACACACGGCCCCCAGGAGGACACCCAGTGAGCTCATCACAATGATGGTCAACAGAATGGGGTCCAGCGTGTAGAGCCAGGAGCTCTCTTTGTCGGGCACCCGTGTCACTGGAGGCTCTGAGGAGGGCTCCACAGTACTCCATTCAGGGTACTGTAAACCTGGAACCAAAGGAAAGCAAAGATTGCATTAAAAGAAGATTCTGTAGGGCAGTGTGACAACTGACAACTACATGTCAACTGGCATAAACCTTTATAAATTCTTATAATCAGGTATGTTGGGGCAGGGAATAGGTGTCTTCAGGACTCTTAACCATTACTTTTCTATGGTGCAAGCAACATCTCAGCCACAAAGCGGCAGACCACTTAAACTTACAGAGCAAACTTACTCACTGCAGAGTTCCAAACTACCTGTGGAAGCAGCGTCAGCACAAGAAGTGTTTTTCAGGAACCTCATGAAGCTCTACACAAGCCAAAGATCACTATGCGCAATGCCAAGCATCGGCTGGAGCGGTTTAAAGCACACTTCCACACAACTCTGGAGCAGTGGAAACATGTTCTCTGGCGTGATGAATCACACTTCTCTATCTGGCAGTCTGACGGACGAATCTGACACTGGCAAAAGCCAGGAGAATGGTATCTACATGCATGCATAGTGCCAACAGTAGTTTGAGGGAGGAGGCTCATATGGGTGTGATGGGTCAAGTGTCCACATACTTTTGGCCATATTATATATATAATTAGGCTGCTTTTTGAGTGAGTTAATGCTTGCCAAAACTCGCTCCACTGATTATCTGTTGTAATTTTTTTTAGCACGCTTGTTTTTACCCACTTAGCGACAACAAATGAGTCTCAGGTGATTGACATCAGGGGGAGGGTGTGAGGACCAGGGACAGACTTAATTATGTTTCATTAGGGTAAGGAAAAAACACAAGAGGGAGGGAGAGATGGGAGACGTCGATAGAGAGAAAAAGGGAAGAGGCGAGAAGGAGATATAGAGGGGGAGGGGACTGACAATATATATAGATGAAGAGATTCTGGGCCGGTAATTAACTTGTCCCTGTCTTTACGTTTTTTTAAAGACGCGAAACAAAGACGTCTTTATGAACAAGATGGATGCCAACTGTGTGATAGGAGGACGGACAGGGAGCGTGAGGCTGATAAGAGAGACATCTGTGTTCTAGTGAAGGCCTACATGGGGGTGAGGACAATGAACACTCACACACAGAGTACACTGCGCATTGTGATTATGCCTCCATGCTTAGACTGTAAAGGTAAAAGCACCGCATTTCTTTGCTGGTGGTCAGCAGAAAAAAGCTTATCAGTCTGCACTGACAAAAGAAATATATTATTATTACGCACATAATTTCCACATGAATATAGTCATAGGTGCCCCTCGACAAATGACGTTTTGTGGATTTCCAAATTAGAGTAAGTCATCATATCCTCTACAGAGAACACACTGAATTTAACATATTGGGCAAAAAATAAATCATAAAATGTGGCCTGTGCAAAAGTATTGTTATTTCTTTTAAAAATCTATTTTTTCCAATATTTTAAACTAACATATACATAAAAATTGTGCAGTAAAACTTGCAGAAAAATGTCACATTTAATCGTGTTCTCTGTAGAGGGTGTGCTAACTTATCTTCAACTAGAAAACCAACAAAACATGTCATTAGACCAGAAGTGTTCAGACATTTGCATGAGACTACCTGTATTGGCTCAATCAATGTTTCAATACGTTAAATCAGGTGTTCTGGTGATGGAACTTAACAAAACAGATGGCTGGGGCAACAATTTACTATACATACACACATACATACATATATGTACATTATACACTGTACATATATATGTATATATACGAAAATGGTAAAAAATGGTAATTTCACAGGAGACTCTTAACTTTGAATGGAAGTTAATAGAACAAGTGGTTTTTTTTATATCATTTTGGAATTTTGGAGCATTTCAATTTGTCCATTCATCGTGAAATTTTAACACATTGCAAAGGGTATCTGGCATTTTCAAATTCTGTAGAAAAATGTAAAACAACATAAATGAAGATCCAAGGTTTGGAGAAGAAGTTTATATAAACTGAACACAGCAGCTGGGTGGCTGTGTGTGAAACATAAATGGACCAATGGAAATGCTCCAAAATGACTTATCTTTGCATTAACTTACAATAAAAGTGAAGAACATATTTGCCTTCACCTGTGTCACCATTTTGGAGATACTTGCGATACACAGTGATGTGTATTAACATATCGGTAAATTGTAAAAAAAGTGGAAAGCTCTAGTTCCCCCTCTACTGTAACAAGAATCCACAAGCTGTATAAACAAAAGTGAAAGCCTATAATCATCACTGTTGTTCTTACTAGATATTGTAGATGAAAACTTGAAACTGTATGGAAATTATGTGACATTCATGTTCAGGTTCATGTGAAGGCAACTCCACTCACACAGTTCCAGTGCAATGCACTGCTTTTTAAATGGAAACAATCTTTCTTTAGGGTCAAATTTGAGCAACCAAGACAAATGCTGTATGAATGATGTAATGTGTTCTATTCATGTGGAAATTATGTATATTCATGAATCAAGTAAATTAAACGCTTCACATTTTTCAATATGTGTTGTACAAAATGAAGAAATAACTTACCTGCATCTATTTGGTCCCTGCTGTTGAGAAGACGACTACCTCTAGGGTCCATTCTTTTAACTGCAGAGGGAGAAATGACTCGTTGAAATAAAGAACTATTATGTGTGCTGAGTTATGATTCTGAAAATAGGAATTGCTATGGAAACCTTAATATCATTAAGGTAATGACTGATTACTCATACTGAGCCTGTGTTCTCTCTCTCACACTCACAAGCAAACACATACACATATAAATGAAGGCTAAATATGAATATCATAATCTGTTATCAGACTTGCATTTAGAAAAATAACATTTTATTATGATGTTTTAAAAGCACATTTCCAGTTCATCAAGCAAAAATATTCTGTTCACATTTGCTTTTTAAACAGCGCTTTAGTTTTTAAGATTGAGGTATAGCGTGGCCACAGTTATTAGGTACATTCATACAAGGAAGGTGCATCCTGATTATTATCATCATCGTCATCAACAACAACAACATCTTTAACATGAGCACAGTCTAAATACATCACCATCGGAGCCACCTTCATCAGTTGTGAGGTGTGATAAAAAGGCCCAAAATGTCAACCATTGGTTTTTGGATTTTAATGCACAATGCTGCCTTTGTTCAGAAAGCGTTTGAACCGGAGCCTGCTGAGTCCAAATCAAATAAGGCAGAGAAATCGATGCGAAAGCCTGTGTACCGCGGGTGTGAAGGTGTAGGCTGACTGGCTCTATTGTGAGTGATCTGTTCTACATGGCCGAGATAAAAACTCGACGCCTCCAAGGAAGCACCCGCTTCGCCTGTTCTACAAGCCCTGAGATGCCTGTGTCCAAAAGAACAACATGACTCATTTTGCACCACGGAAACAACTGCAGGCATTTGATCTAGAGCTTGATCGATATATCGTAGGACCAATGTAACTGGCCAAAGAAGTAATGTCAGTAATTTTGTACCACAGAAAGAACTGCAGGGATCTGATCTGGGGCTCAGCTGATATATCATGAGTATCGATATATCGACTGATATATGAATGAGTCATTTGGCACCACAAAAACCGCAATGATTTGATTTAGGGTGTGATTGATATATTGTTTGACCAATATAATCAGACAAACAAAAAAACATCAGTTATTTTGTACTACAGAAATTGCAGAGATTTGATCTAGGACATATCATTTTGCTGGTATAATCAACTTTGACAACTGGCAGTCAGTCAGTAAAGCACTTTTAGCTAAAACGATTGATGTTTGACAGCTTAAACTTATATCAGTCAAGAATATTTAACTTAAAATTGGTGCCAATTTTCTCATCAGTTATGCCGTAGTAACAATCTGGACTGTTAAAGTAGGGGAGGGTGAAAAAACATGTCCTGACAAGGATATCTGGGTGCAAGAAAACTCCATTTGGCACTGAGCCTCCTTAGGGCTCATTCAGTATATAGGCTGGCCAAAGAAATAACATCATTCTGCACCAAGTACACAGCAGAGATCACTTCATATTAGTCGGTCACTGTCCATCTAAAACAATTGGATTCTAATTTATTTTTGACCAAATTAACTTCACTATTTTACAGCTTAACATCAGAATGGGTGCTAATTTTCACATCAGTTGAAACTTTATTTTATAATACAGCCTTTAGTTAAACTCTTAGCATAAAATCTTCAAAGGGGAAGGGTGAAAAAAGGGGGGAATATTTCCTGGTGAGGGTTTCTGGGGGCAAGAAAAGCCCATTTGCCATTCAGCTTCCTTAGGGCCTATATTGGTATAGGCTGGCCAATTTAATGACTTGATCAATATACGATCAGGCCAATGTAATCATCTTTACTGGCAATCATATCAGGAAAACAATTAGGTTCTGATTTATGTTCGACCGCATAAACTTGAATTGGTCAATATAATTGGCTAATGTCATCACATTCGATACTTGGCAGGTATGTCAGTCAGTAAAGCACTTTTTAATTTCTGATCACATCAGTTATGAGAATTTTTAGCTCTTTAAAATCGAAAATTGTACATCAATATCAGTTGAGCCCTAGTTTGATCATCTAAGGGAAAAAGTGACGCTTTTTGAAACTATTCCCCAGTGAGTTCATCTGGGGAGAATAAAAGATGGCCCGTTTGGCATCGAGCCTCTCTGGGCGATAAGTAGCCACATGTCTCTGGAGAAAGCTTTCGCTCATTAATGTGGTCTCCAGGGATGAGCGAGAGCGAGGGGGTGGGGGAGAACACTTCCAGCAGCTTTAATAAATGCTATCTGGTCCATTAACTAATTAAAAATATTAAGAGCTTGGAAAGAATGTGTGGTGAGAGGAAGGGGTACTGGGGAGAGAGAAAGATTGGTTGGCTGATTTAAAAGCACATTGCAAGCCAGTGCCAAAACATCTCTTACCGCCTCTCTGTCTACTGGAAATGGCACTAAAAAGCCCACAAAGAGCCAAAGGTCTCTCTTTCTCTCTCGCGCTCTCTTTCTTTCCCCCCCCTCCTATGTTGGAAAATTCCTCCATTTTCCCCCTTACGACAACCTGTTTCTATAGCAACACCACACAGGTGATGATTAAAGGTTTAGGCTTGGTTTGGGGTCTAAACTCTCTGATAGTGGATTAGCTATACCCATGTGTCTACATTCTGTCCGCGTAATGTACGGCACCATATGAACTAACACTGGATCAGCTCCGTCTACATAAAGTACAATGAGATTTTCTTCATAATCTTAAAGAAAGCTTATGCTTAAATGCTTGTACTTTGCTCCTAAACACATTGGTGTGGTAGATGCCTCTCAACAGGTAGTTTTCAGCGGTGCTCAAGACTGCGCAAAATCTAATGCTGCATTGGTCTCAGAAGTGGGAAGTCTGAACTCTGAACTTTTGAACTCTGCACATTCAGGCTACAAAGGTGGGGGGAAATGGACACCTTCATGAAAGTAAGCAATCTAACATTTGTGATATGAGTAATAACTTTAACATTCATGATGAATTTACCTTCTCATAACAGTGAATTTGGTCAACGTTATGGATTAAACCAACTACTGTGTTGACTGATCAAAAGCAAACTTAAAGGTAGACAAGTGGTGCTTTATTACTATTGATGGTGTTAGCAGCCATGTTGATTCGACATCATATGTTGAACTTGAGTGGAGACCACTGTACCAATAAATATTTCTGAGAAGAAATGAGCAGTTCTGATTTTTCCTTGTTGGGGGGAAATTTATATTAAATCTATATCTTTTTATAAATATAAATATAAAATAGCTTTATTACTCATCTAAAATGTAGAAAACTAAGTAAAATAAGCTAGGTGTGGCCAAACCTTTGTATTGTATTTATATCCTGTGACCATTATGTCCAAAAACTAGTGGTGGCCATACCTTGATACACATACCAGCAAAAGAAACACAGTACACAGAGTACAGGGCAATGGTTATTGCACATTTTGTCGTATTTTCAAAATCAAGTCATACTAATGCAAATGTAATTTGATAAATTACTTGCAATGTGTCCGAGAATAATCAAGCATATGGAAACGCTGGATGCTATTTGCTGCTCTGGAAGACCTGGAAACCCTACGGCATGGGAAAATGGCTACCAGCTGTCAGGAGCCCACAGACCTTGCTCCTGCGCCGTCGCTCTCCGTCCTCATTAGGACGAGGTGGTTAAGGGAAGCAGCTGTCTTTGTTTATATGGCTTGTTTTCAGGGCCTGAACGCCGACAGCCGTTTGGTAGGAATAACGCACTCCTACGCACTTCTGGCTCGCAGTGGAGCAGGCCTACGCAGTTTTCGGGGGGATTTCTGTGGCAACAAATGTGAAGAATGGGAGGAACAAAGGCAGCACCCTGGTGATATCATGAGAGAAAGCATGCAGGAGATTTTCTCTTCTTGTTTTTTAGGCATAATTTTGAGCCTCCATCTATTTTGTCCAAGTTTGATGGAAACTTTGTTGTGACAAAGAAATATTATTATTTGTTTGGTTTTCTGGGAGGTTGATATTTAATGTACTCTCTTTCTGATCGATTCAAATTCAGCTTTTGCTGGACTCGTGTGGAAATCTAATTTTGAGCTACTTTCTTACATCGAACCTGTTAATGCATGTCCACAGGGCTTGATGAATTTCCATACTTTTCAATTGCACAGCCAACCAAGCCACACCCACCACTCAAAATGTTCTGTCATCTTTTGTTACCTCCTCACACATCAGTGCAGTTTTTACAGTGGTCCGTTTCCTACTTTAGCTGAATAATAAAGAGGGAAATTTTAATTAACATCAGGATCCCTTCAAAGTGCACCCATCAGTTAAATCACACTGGTTGAAAAGATTTATACAGCGCTATTTAGATCAATGACAGTATGAAGACAGTCCTGATCTCTTGATCCTTCTCATCATGCTCTGGGAATCTAGCCCTGATTTGCGACTGGTCAAGGAGGTGACTGTCCTTCCGAAGCACGGCTGAGGATTAGCAAAGCATCGAAGTCAGTTCAGTCCTGGATTGGTGATTAAGGTCATTGGGTTGCGTGTCATCTTCACTGAGCTCCTGGTGGTTCTGCAGCTGAGGAGCTTTCACCATGGCATTCATTACGAGGATGGGCTTATGCCCACAGTGAGAGTAGCCATGCAGGAACTCTTCCAGAGAGCCAGTGAGCATGAGCTGGCACCTGCCACCGCTTCCTGGCTGGACACTCTGCAGTAAACAAGCCGTATACTCCAACCACTTCCTGGCTGGACACCCACAGTGTCTTGCTGCGTCCATCAAGTGATGGAGCACAGAAAAAAAGACAAAAGAAAATCAGCTTAGAGCAGAACATCGAGATGCTGGTTCCATTCTGTTCTTACTTGGGTAGTTCCGTATGCATGACCAGTTGGTAGTGAGAAGGTCTTAAAAAAGGTTTGAACAGTTCTTGCTTAAGCTTTCCTTCCACTAAGCCAACTCTTAAAGTCTTTCCTGCTCTCCAGTCTTGGTGACTGGGCTTGTCAAGAAGTCTGCAACATAGTCTTCTATGTATTTCAGTCACTTTCAGTCCAAGTCCCTTCCCCTCACCAGTAGGAGTTTCCATCACCCTTTTCCACCCAAACAGTTAACTTATGACCAGCCCCTGACCTGGGCGTGGCACCATTTGGATAGTGAGCATTGTGGGGGCTGTAGTAGGCCATGGTGGGTCGGCTCCTCTTGGCTGTCAGGCGGCGGCAGCCAATGGCCATGACAATGGCAATAACCAGGAACAAGATGGCGCCTCCGCCAGCCATGAAGTAATACCAGTTGGGGGAAATAGGTGGCACTGACAGCGTATCTACTGTTGGCTCACTTCTGCCTGGAAGGGCTCCCCCTGGTGGAGAGATATATACAAAATGTGATAACACCCCACATTACTGCTGAGGCTCACTGTGCAAACATACTAGAGAAGAAAGCACTCTGTCACTGTAGTTACTGTATTGAAAATTCTTTTAGCAGTACATAACAGAGGAGGTAGGATTGTTATTCTTTTAGCTGCTTTTCAGCTACGTTATCGCCTTTAACCTTCATTTCAAAGCAGTACATACAGTGAAAGAAAGGATCAGAACATACAGCAGAGTAATGTAAAGTGATATCAAAAAGCTAAAGATCTAGGAAGCCAAGCACATCCTATACCAAGAGTGCCCCGTCATTCTAGTCCTGAGGAGCATGTATGGATGTAATCCAGGGGTGTACAGTTTTATCCACAAAGGGCCGGTGTGACTGCAGGTTTTACTCCAACAAAGCAGGAGATCACCTGATGAAATGTTTGAAGACTAAGACCAACTGATTAAACAAGTGGAGTCAGGTGTGCTCCAGCTTATTTGGAGTGAAAACCTGCAGCCACACCGGCCCTTTGCGGATAAGACTGGATACCCCTGATGTAATCTTTTTATAAATAATCACAATCTAGCTACTTGCAAGGAAGTTCCTCTCAGCTGAATGTAAATGAGGCTATGATGTTGCCCTTGTTGTAATAATGCACTTTGGTTTTGACTGTTTGCAAGTTTTTGTAAGACGCTCAACAGAGCCTATCAAGTAAACGAGAATGATAACCAGACTGACAACTTGGCTGGAAATTATACTTTACTAACAATTAGCTCTCCAGGACTACTCAAAGGGCAGCTTAGCTATATGGTCTATGGGAGGGTTTTAATTCTCATCATTCAGGGGTATTTTAGGGCTGCATTCAAAACAAGGGTCCAGAAAGCCAAGCAGAGGCACATGCATTTGGGTTCTTTTCAGTCAAGCTTGAAATGCTTGCACGATGCAAACAAAAACTGAGGTCATTGGCTCTAATGGCTGAGGTTACCTCTCTGTTAATTGACTGGTAGCACTGTTAGACATTACATTATGTAGCTATTTCAAGTTGCATGTCGCTGACCCCCATTAATAGATACCAAACAGATTAAGCTGAATTAGCCTTCTAGTGTACCAGTGTAGCCAGTACTAGGTGATTTCTCTTTTTCTTGAATCATCTTGGCTATGAAAAAAAGACTGTTGAATCACAGAATCCACCTAATCATTAGGTCAACATAGTCCCAAAGTAGTCAGACACATCACCTTTGCCTGAAACTGAATATTTCCGGTATGTTCAAGAAAGCCTCAATAACTCCTAGTGCATAAAATATCCATCATACAGGAACAGTCAAAGATGTGCTTGTTTTTTTTCCTGTCAGATCTGCCTTGTCTGCTAAAAAAGAGCACTCAGTACAGGGAAGAAATCCAAAAAGGAACATAGAAGGCAAGCGCTGTGTCTCTGACGCAATCCTTCCGAGCAGAACAGTGCACAGGGAGACATCTTGTGATGCTATATTCAGTCACGAAGAATGACTGTCACTCATTAAAGAGATGGTGCCTGCTAGTAGACAGCGGAAACTAGCTGTGCTAGGCTGGAAGCAGTGCTTTGCATGTCTAGGGTGATGCAGAAAGGTTACCGAAAATGTGCCGACTCCTTAAAAAGGAAACATAGACTCGGTAATCCATTTTGCTTGGATAAAAATAACCAGTCTCTGGAAGTCATAGGTCCCAGAGAATGGTTAAGAAGTGGGACAACTGACTGAAGGTTTACCAACTCCATGCAATATACACTGAGTTGCCTGTTTTTAGGTACATCTACCTTGGCCATTTAATCAGAAGGTTGACTGTGGTCCATTTGTCGCTGCAGAACTTATCAGCCCCTCTCTACCCCATGCATCAATGGAAAGGGACCACCATAAGACCACCACTCACCAGATATTTTAGTGGTAGACCACTACCACCACAGCAGTGGCACAGACACTTTATTAGATGAAGACAGACTATAGTCAGTAAGAAATGTGCACCTACAGGACTGTGCAGAAGTCTTGTCAGTCACATCCTTTTAGACTGGATGGGCATCACAACCTGAGGATTTTGTTCAGATCTGAAGCTAAAGTGGAGATTGATTGTCCCCTATCTCTCAAAAATGGAAGTTTTAAGTACTGTTTATCTGGTGATGACACTTTTGGTGGTCTACCAGGTCTTGCCTGGTTTTTAGGAGTCCCATTTCTCTATATCTTTGAACTCCAGTTTTGGAAACTTCTGACTTATATCAGTTCATTCTTATATCTAATCTCTTCAGAAATATCTCCTGAAAAATTATTAACTTGTATAATTAATATAATTAATGGCTGTTTCGACTGAAAATTAAACAAATGAAGGGTGGTCTCCAACAATAGAAAGGTACTGTAGATGGCAGGTGTTTCTGATGAACTGGCCAACAGGTGCTAATATAACGTATGCTTTCCCAAATATCTGTCAACTCAGTGTATATATGAACCAATGTTTAGAAATCAAGGATACTGCTTTCAAGCCATTTGTCAACTGTGCAAGATTCACTCAACATCATCCACTCACACTGGCTTAAGCTAATATTTGCAACTCTACAGCATGTAGTCAGTCCCTCGAAAAGGGAGGGGTTATTTCAAGTAGCAGACCCAGGATCAGGCTTCCTTACCTGAAACAGGGTGTTGCATGACATTAAAACTGATCCTGGATCTGCTTTACAATAACTGGAGTGCAGAAAGCAGGAAGCACAAACATTCAATTGAAAAGCAGGAACTAGGAAAGGTAAGAGCAGGTTAAACTCACCAGTCATATCTGGAGGGAAGGGAGGGAAAGGTTCTGCAAGAGGGAAGAAAAGAGAGAGAGAAAGAAAAAAAAGTATTCATTTCACAGCAAAGATTATGGAACATGTTCTCTGTTCTGCCATGTTCCAGTGATGAAGCAAGTTTTAGCATGCAATTAGCATGAATACAGTATGAGGGGGGATATAAAGGATGAATAATCAATATCAGAGAGCTCGGAAGAAATCAAAGGCGCATCTAAAATTTACAACCGTATGTAAAAATCCATCAGGGTTTTCTGACTAATTGGACCAACCACTTTACCTCAAGCAGCTCAAGGACCTAAGCAATGGTTGCAGTTCACATTGTATAAACCATTTGTTTACTCCAAATTGCATCACTTCCTCCATTTCGTTCTCCAAGACACCGAGTAATTGTGCCTTTGTGAGTGCTTTGATTCTCAAGACTGTTGATGAAGTGGCATGACACATGGCTTTGTAAGTTTGCGAGGTTGCACTGAGGGGAAGGAACAGAGCATTCAGGAGACTAAAGATTTGGATGGCTTGAAACGCAACAATTAGTAAGGAGACAAAGTAGAAAGCATGAATGTTGCTCAGGGAGTTCTTTTTTTGGCAAGCATGGCACTGCTCGGTGTGCGCGTCCAACTGCAGCAGTTGATAAGAGCACTCCCAGCGTGCTTTGGGAGGGAGGTGTGGAAGGATCACAGCAAGAGTACGGTGATGCATGGGCTCAGGAGGTTTCCAACTTTTTGGACGTGAACTTAGTCACCAAGGCCAACCAGCTGCAGCTGCCGCAAGCTAAAATGGTTAATTCAGCTAGGTTTGATGACACTCAAAAGTTTGGAATCACTTGACATTTTCATGTTTTTGTAAATGTATTTAATAATGTTTCTATAATGCAAGTTATCTGCCTTAAGATATGCTCAGCACTTGTAAAATATATGGCACTTTGGATGTTAATTATATAACTTTATTGTCTTTGTTATACATCTATCTACAGCTCTGTTTAATATTCTGGACACTGAGTCAGATGCTATGTAGAGCCTGCATCTTACTTGTTGGTCAGAGTTTATCTTTTTAGTCCAAAGAGGAAGAGCATAGAAAGACTACTGCAGCTATCTAAAGGATACCACACCAATAAACATCAACAAGTTCGAGTTCTTATTACATTCTACACACATAGTTATTTTACATTTATTTTTTAAAATTAAGGACAGATGCAAGTCATAGAATGTACAATTAAAGTTTTCTTTTCTTCAAAGGACAATCCTCCCAACCAAATGCCCACCCCCTACCCCCCTTCCTTGGAAGTCCATAAAGAAAAGGTACAAGCAAAATGACAATAAGTGAGGAAAAGAAATGCTAGCATAAGGGTTGCTAAAAACTTGACAGCCTATATTATGTACAATGTGTTTTAATATATGTTTGATTAAAATACAGTAAAATCTTATATTTCAGTGTCCAAGTGTATGGGGTATCAATCTAAAATTAAGCCTTATCACAGGCAGCTGCTCATTTGTCAAATAGGGGTTGCCATGTTTTCAGGAAGATATTATCTCTATTAAACTTATAGTGAAGTCTCTTCATATGCAGCACACTCCCTAGATTCCTAAGCCACTGCTGGAATAGTGGGCTAGCTTCTGACTTCCACTTCTGTAAGATTTGGCATTTGGCCAACAGTTTACAGAGGGAAATGGCTTGGTCTTTATAGTTATTAATGGAAGAATTTACTATCACTGATCCAAAAATTGCAAGTAATGGATCTGGTGTGATAGCTTTATTAAAGGCCTTTGAATAGTGAGTCAAATATGAGTCTAAAAGGAATTTAGTTCAGGGCAGGACCAGAACTGATGGGTAATTCTGGTTTCTTGTTTACACTTATCACGCAAAAGAGAGATGTTGAGGGATATGACGTGAAGCTTGAACTTCATGATGACATGGTAGAGAGCTGTCATATTAGAATCACTGTGTACATCTGTGTGTGCAACAATATTGTTCTACACCGTAACAAGCCATAGGCCTGCCAAAGTTTTATTACACACTTCTATAACCTAAGAATAGCTCCATTAGTTTGCATTGAAGTCCTTGTAGTTACATAATAATAAGCCTTTGTATGAAATAAGCCTGGAATGTTAAGGGGTTAAACAGTGATTCCAAAGTTTTAAATGACAGCAACCGGCTCAAAATCTGAGCAGCTGTAAGCACACAGGGCTGGGGCTGATCTCTTTAAGGCCCTAACCCACAAAGCCCTGAACCTATACAGAACCACTGGGGCCATCGAGTAAATTTGGTTTCGGAGAACGCTGTTTACAAATACAGAAAGAGAGGCAAGGAGAGAATAATGAAATATAGATTAGCATCTGAGCCCGCAGGGCTTTGTGGCCTAGTTTTTCTATATTTTGTGTTTGATCGCAAGTAATATGTCACTCATTTTTTCTCCCTCCTCCTCTTTTATGCCTTAATTTTATTTTGAGAAGCTCAGGAAGATTGTTGCTGTGACTGGTAAGATGGAAGTACAAAGCATCCCAGGCACAAAACACTGACAAAGAAAGCAAAAGACGCTAGAACTGGAACATCGAGTCAATAGAGAGGGAAGGAGATGTTGAGCATCAGCAGACATGTGGCAGATACACAATAGCAAGGAAATATAAGGACAGATATAAAGAAATACAAGTTATGAGATTTAGAATGCAGTGGCAAACTGAAAGTCAGATTTTTCATTAGTATACTCTGATCCTGGAGGGCCACAACATTGCCTTTGCTACTGTCATCCCACAACAAATCAGTTTCTTCTCAATCATCAAGCTCTTCCTGAGCTTAATCAGATATGCTAAAGAGCATGGGAGGCAGATACGGTGGGAAGATGTGCTCAAGATTAGGTGCAAAAAAGGGAGGAAAGGAACAGTAAAGATGTGCCAGCACTTACGGGTACATTCCTCCAGCGGCGTGCTTGAGCTCATATGGATATTATCAATCCAGATGTGGCCCGTGGTGGCCTTCTCAAAAACGGCTTCAATGACCACCTGCCAGAAAGCGACAAACTCAAGTGAACTTAGAGCATCCAGATATCATGCATTCCAGAAATTCCGTTAGAACCCTTAGAAATCAATAACACAATTATTAGTCCCTTCAAAAACAGCTGTTCTTGACATGATGCTTCAAAGTGAAGGGAATTTTGCTAATAATGACTGAAAGCTAGTAGAGGAAGGATAGCTGATCATGACAAGGGTGCACTGTTAGCCACATTGTCTTTTTTTTGTATTTTCCCCCAATTTTCTCCCCAATTTAGTCGTATCCAATTCCACCCACTAGTTAGGACTCCCCCAGTGACACGATACCACCAGCGCTAGGAGGGCGAAGGCTAGCACAGGCTTCCTCCTGTCCTGTGAAACGGCATCACATCTTTTCAAACTGACACTCACGCAACATCATTGTACAGCCGAACGCGTACGGAGGAAAGCGCCAACCGCCAGATCTGTTATGTCAGCTAACAGACTGAGCTGACTAGCATCGTGCTGAGTGATGGGGGAGACAGAGGGCCATCCTACCCACCCAGAGAGAGCAAGGCTAACTGTGCTCTCTTGGACTCCCGGCCATGAATGGCTGTAGCATCACCAGGGATCAAATTTGCAATCTCCTGATGATAGAGCCAACGCTTTGACGGTTGAGCCCACATCATCTTTGAGTGAGGCATTCCTCTTTACAGCTAAAATTTTATTAGCATCATTAATTGAAGACAATTTTCAGTATCTCTAGGTCAAAAGAACTAAATTTTGTTAATAATGATTGCAAGCTGGTGAGGGAAACAGTCTGGTCCTGTTTACTGGTCCTCATGTGGATACACTTTTACCCACATTAGCATTTCTGAATGAACATTAGCCGGATTAATGTACCTGAAATTCTTTGGGGGATCGAGGTATGATGGTGCGTCCCTCCTTCCAGATGGGTTCCTGATTGCCATGGAGGGCCCAGAGAAGGGTTTCTTCCTGGAGCGGGTTGCGAAGCAGGATGCGCAGTGTTCCCTCGTCCTCAAGTTGATAGGAGAACTTCAGGCACAGAGGCCCAGTGTCAGGGCCTACCTCAGGACTGAAGAGCCTTGCTTTCTTCCCTTGCGTCTTAGGGCTAGCCTCGATGTACAGATAGTTTCCCAAACCTGTGGGCAACAGACATATCAGTACTATGTAAGAAAAAATCAGCACTATGTAAGTAACAAGGCATACACTCAGTAAGGTTTAACACCTACAAGTAAATAACTATAAGAACATGTCAATATCAAATCACATACAAGTTCTTAATCTTATTGTACCAGACAGTACACAAAAATGTACTAGGCAAAAGCTTGTAAATGGCAACCATGAGACTTAAATAAAATTTGGTTTTGGACAGTAGGTGTTTTTACATTTCCTTCATGGTAAAGCCACTAAAAACCCTAAAATCCCTTCCACAAAAGCCTTCCACTCACTAAGCAAGGTTTGTTAAATGTGGCATCTCGTGTGAACAAGGAGGGTAAAACATCCCTGAGTTCAACTACAAAATGTCAGAAGATGCAATGGATAGCTCAGAATTGTCTGAAATTTACTGCAGAACAAGCAACCACTTTATTTACCTCACAACTTCATTTAATTGGCTCTCGAATCTCAATAGTGTAGCATGCAATCCAATGGTAGTACTTCGCTGAAAGCCCAAGGAAGGAACCCCTGCTTTGCAGGTGACATTTTAACTGTCTGCTCCATGTCAGCCTTTGTGCATGCAACATGCATTCAAACCAGCATGAAGGTGATGTGGCCAACTGGGCCTGTGACAGTGTGTCCTCAAGCCTTGTAGCCGTGTATGTACGCAACATGAATCTCCTGCCGGTGCTTTCTGAACAAACCACCATGCTGCGTTTGTTGGAAAAGTCAAGTGTGTCACTGAAGAAAAGCCAAGCTTCTTGTCATTAGTATTAATGCTTTGCATGAGCAGTGGCATCCCACAAGGCTCTGCTCTAGGGCCCCTCAAGTGATTTGAGTGTCTATTTGCTATGCCTAATGCCCCCCTAATGTTTTGTGCTTTGCTAAGCAGACAGCTTGTAACTGTATGATTCCTACATGCATTTGCCATTGCGGTACTAATCTGCTCCTTCAGCATAAAGCAAAAATAAGCAGGAGAAAGCAAGAGATGCTAAAGAGAAGGCAAACTTGTCATCATGAGACATAATCCTCACCCTCTACGGTGACGAAAGAGTGGTGAGACAGGTGTGAATTCTTTCATCTGTCCTTATTTTGATTCTCAGCCCTCCCTGACACATCAATGTCAAGTGGTTCTGAGACAAAGTAAACCACATTTAGATGGAGATTCATGACCTCCAACTTTCTTGGGCCAGATGCTCGCATGCCTCCGCTAACCACTGAGGCTCGTCTGTAATGCCTCCGGCTGTCACCACGGCTAGTTAAATGTTTCAGAGAGCACGGTGGAAATATCTAAACGGATTAATTTTAAACAGGGTTAAGATAACAATCCCCTTAACTTCAGTGTACAAGCAGAAAGGAAAGGAGAAGCAAGACAGGGCAAAAAATACAGAGCAAAAGGAGCAATATCTTTTATTAATACGGCAAAAGTGCTGCTTTTGGATCCTGGGTATGTATAAAGGGAAATGAAGAGTTATTTCTTCAAGGAGGCTTTAAGAACATAGATGTCTACTTAGAGATGCAGCCATGTGCCTGCGAGGTAGTTGAAGGGTTGGAAGGCACAGTCAGGAATTCGGTTTTCCACAGGAATACACCACTTTGAAGTCAATTATAGATCCTGGGCCTTAACCCTTTCTTCCACAGAGCAGGGGAGCAGCTACACTGAGCACATAATATGAGAATGGAGCCTTTTTCTGTACATAGTACAGCATTAGAAATTCACTTTCTATTAAGTATAGAAAGATCTTGCCATTAAGATCTTGCTGCTTTTATTTGTAAGCAATGCAAGACTGAAAGAATCCCAGACAATTTATCCCCTTGTGGTGATGTCCGTGGTCATCAGTGCTCAAACCTTTTAGACGCTGAAACCAAACCTTTGAGCCAAAAGATTTTCAGTAAATGTTTTACAGGAATGTTTTAAAGCAAAGCAAACAACTTTTTATTCCTCCCAAATATAGTCAATCAGGCAATACATGATTGCCATCCAAAGTTTACTGCTTTAGCGCTGGAGCTACAAAGCTAACCTTCCTAACAATCACTAGATGTCAATAGTTACCCAAATATTTTCTCTAAATCCATTCCCAAAACCTCTCTCAACCAGCTTAAACCACATCAAGAGCTTACTGATGTGTTGTAGGACATAGGATGCCCTACTGTGCACTATACAAATGCATACAACCTCACCATGTAGCTAATGTATTGGGCAGCCACTTTAGACAACAGCTGTTGTGCTGAATTCCGACAGAATCCAGCTCCCCTTCACCTGCATGCATGTCATGCAGCAATGTGGATGCTAAATTACAATTACATTCACAATTTCTGCAATTCTTATTTATAAACATATCACTTCAAATATTCAAGATTAACAGTTGTTTGTAAATAGAAACAACAGAAATTAATGTTCCTATGCTTGTGCAACATGTGCATGTGAACGTGGGGTGGGGTGGGGGTCAAAAATTGGCACAATATCTGCTGTCTACAATATCTTCCTGCAGCATTCAGCTACGTCATAAAGTTTTATAAATTTTTTGCGTTCGCAGTTAGTCATATTGTGTATTAAACCACATCGACGACTCTGTGAAACCTTAATGGAGACCTGTAAGCAGCTGAGCAAGCTGAGAGATATTTTGGGGATGTTGTTACAAAAAAAGCTATTATGTATTATCTTATGTAATTATACATGTATAAAGGGTGAACTGTTCTTTTTCCAACAGGACTTTTCTGCTTGTAACAGGAGTGTTATTACCCATATATTATTATACACTACTGTAATCCATCTGTAACTGCAACTACATCACCAGTCGTTACACTGCTTTTGCATGAGTTGTTAATGTGTAACAACATTGTAATTAGAGATACTTACATAAAGTGAGACCATTTTGTCTTATTTAACTGAAAAGTGACCATGAAAATTAAAAATTTCTTGTGGAAAAAAAAAGCAAGGCATGCATAAGCTTTTCACATGCATCGTATTTAAACAAAAAGTGATATATTGCATTATATTCAGCTGTTTGGAGGCAAACTTTTAACTCTCATTGGTTTTTTGATTCCCATCTGCAGGGAGGATCTTTGTTCTTCGCGTACGCTCCTGCTTTGCGACATGTCATGCGGTAGGAAGCGAGAGAACGTGACGGACTGTCAGAGGGGGAAGAGAGAAAGTATGCCAAGCATCTCCCCCCCCCCGCCGCCCCCTTTCCTTTCCCAAATTCCAGAGCAGTCCCCGACATGTGGTGTGCAGACTGTAGGACGTTGGAGTTTGAGTGCAGGTGCAGCACTGCAGATCTGAGATCAGTCAAACTTTCCATTCTGGTTGATACAGTCAAATGTTGAATGGGGCGAAAGCTGATTCCAGGTCTGAATGAGACAATGTAGCTCTTCGGAGTGGGTTACAACAATGCAACACCAGTGCGGTGGAATCGAACGCGTAGCGGAAGGTGCCTCGAGAAACTCGACTCATTAATTTTATATTAGTGAGTGTTTGTGCATGAGATTGTTTTCATAAAACGCGCTTGAGTACATGTGTGTATAAATATGCAAATGCCAGCCCACGGGCGCGCTAATTTATGAGCTTGTTCGTGTGTAGGCGTGTGCGTGGGCATATTTGTGTGTGGTTTTTGTGTGAAAACTCACTGTTGGAGCCTATGGAGAGGTCTTGACTTTGGCCCAGGGCTGTGCTTCTGCTGGAGCTGTGTAGAGCCCAGCTGAGGTCAGCATCCGGGTCATCGGTCCAACCACACAAACCCTGCTCAAAATCACACAGCACCGCTGGAGAGGGGGGAGAGGTGCTGGAGCCTGCAGGGCGAGAGAGATAGGAAAAGGGTGAGCGAGAGAGAGAATCGATGTTCCATATAAAAATCAGTGGGAAAGATCTGGACGACCTCATGTCACTCATATATTACATTCACATCAATATTTATCAGCTGCGTAGGTGAACAGTCAAAAACTAGCTAGCAGCACTGCAAGCTAACAGCAGAGCTAGCCTTCGCTAACCTTTGATTTCATCCTCCGGACTAAGAAGAGGCAGGGTGAAGGCAGAAGAACAAACTCTTCACAACATAACTCAGTTCACTAAGAGTCGAGGTCCAGATCGATTAAAGACTAAAGCATCCATAGCATTTACTTCAAGATAGAGGCTAAGCTATATAATTCATGAGAATCAGTAGGCCTAGAACTTTGATTCACACAGCGTATCAGTTCAGATTTCAGTTTCAGTCCAGATTTTTATTAGATATAGAATAAAAACACTTTAAGTGTTCATAGTCGGTTGTGGGTGGTGGACCTTCGTACAAACATTCAAATATTCTGTTGAGTTTAAGTGCTCATGGAAGGTATAGTTAATTATTCAAAGCCAATTATTTGTCAGCTGTTCTAACTACATTTCATATGCAATAACGAACAGCATTTCCTAACTGCCCAAGTCATCTGCTAAGCATCGTTGTTTGAGTTGGGATGCAGGTTTGGTTCTGGAGTTTAAGGTAGTTGTAGTCCATCGGGTAATTCAAACAGCGGAGAACACACCAAAAGTTTGCAATCATTCAGGAGATGTACAATTTGTTATCGATTATTTTTTAGAAGCATTTTATGCAGATTTTATCTAAGCGATAAATAATCTTAAGTTATGCTCTAATGTACGACTTTTAGGGTACCAGTGCTGCATGCTCAAAAATTTATGTACAGTCCTGATTAGTGATTTAGGCCCTAGAAGTCACAGTTACTATTAGCAATAATAAAAGCATAGAGAAATTTTGGCTTGAGAAAGAATGCAACTTCATTTGAAGGCTTCCTACTTAGGGACTTTGTAACACATATATAAGCATTAAATGAAATATTTTTAAAGAAATAGTAGAGTATTTATTAACAGCTTATGTCACTAATCACAGTGTGGCATTAAGTATGACAAGGGGTTTTAAAATGACAGAGATTTGTTCATTTATAACACTGTTATGAAGCATCATGGAACGTCCAAGAAGCAAGCATGGAACTTATGATGTAGAGGTCTAGTTAAGAACATTATATACTAGTTCTATATATTTTTACTTGAGTTAAAGTACAAGAGTACCAGTTGTTTTAACTGTGACCTTTAGTTTAGATGCCATTTCTGTCCAAAAACATCCGAGTATTGGTTTATAAATCTGTTATTCAATGTTTATGCATGTGTTAGGAAGTCCCTATGTATGCAGTCTTCAAATAAAGTGTTACTATAATTATTTTTTATTGTCATTGTTAGTCTTGTTTTATGAAAAAAAACTACCCTTTATAGCTTTGTCATTTTTATTTTTTTTTGTCATTTCTTGACATTAAAGGTACTGAAAAAGGTCAGATGGGCAGATCCATAAATGCTTCATGAATTATGTTATAAGTATGTAATAAATTATATGTTCATGTAATTACACTTACATAGTATGGCAAAACAGCACTAATAACCCTAGACTTCTAAGGGTTAATTAACACAAGATGATTAGATAGACATTGTGTCTAGGAAATTCAACAGATGCTACTCACTGGTTGCTATAGTTCCAGATGATGCAATAACACAACATCATACTAGGCTCAGAAATATGTCATTTGGCTTGACAAAGAATGCAAATAACTCCCAAGTGATGCTATAAACCAGAAAGTGATTGATTGCTATTAAGTGCTAGACTCCTCACCAGAGCTGAGCTTGTGGGCAGTGCTGCTTTCTCCAAGCGGAGATCGAGTGAACGAGGACGTCTCAGTGGCAAGTGTAGACGTTTCTGTAGAACAAAGGCAGGGATATGCTTTGCATTAGGGAGTCTGCTCCTAACAAAGGCAAGTCACACATGTTAGCAATTACACTCAAAAAATACATCACTGTATGAATTTAATTACACCACCTGTTTACATTCAATTAAACAGAGCAGAGTCAGCACAAACAGACTTTGTTACCTCAACATTAAATGTGATTGCAATTGATGTTGATATATTTTATCTTGGCTCTTATTTTACTGATGAAAATTCATTATAATAATGAACAGTCAAAAGACATTATTCATTTTCTTGGAAAATATAGTTTATATTAGTTGAATGCAAATGAAGATGACTATAGCGCCATAAATGTCTAAACTCTCTACAATAATGCTAATTCCTGCTGGCGACAGTATGGAATTCTAGTGGTATATTAGCACTAAGCTAATGGTGATTAAACATTTTTTGGCTGATCTAGATTAACTAAACAGTCTTGGCATAGATGATAGCTGATGCTGTTTTCAATTTCTAACAACTAACCGTAAGCTGGTTAGAGTACAGCCCATGTTTACATTCAGTGATTTTTCTCCCAGAATTGGTTCTACCCAGTAGTGGGTGGTAAACCAGTTTGAATTCTTCCTCAGTGATGAGCTTTTTCATAACTGTTATACTGGTATGCCACAAATTAGTGCAGAAAACATGATGTACAAGCAGTACAAACCATGCTAACATTACCCTGTGTGGCTAATCGGCTGAGCCAAGAGTGTTTCCATCTCATTTGAAATGAAAATGAATTTCCCATTCCCATTCCCATTCCCATTCCATCTTAAATGGTGCAACAGTGATATTCCAGTGCCTGTACCTGCTACTTCATTAAGGTGGAATGGAAAACTCAAACAAAAAGCTGGTGAATAAGGAGCACATGTATTTTGGTGCCATTTTTGCCAGACACTTTTGTTTTTTACTGTTTCGTAGAATAGAAATATTTCAGATGTACATTGGCTAATAAAAAGAGATGGGACACCATAGAAAATGAGTCGCTGTCACCCTACAAAAAAAGGGTTTACTTAAGCATCTAAAATGGTTGTTTGTGGAAAAAGAAAAACTCATAGATTGAGAAGAGGTGGTACAGTGCCGTGAATGTCTTGTTCGATGTGCGGAAAATGGGTCGCAAGGCAGATGTTAATGATTGGCAAAAAGGAGTAACTGCATTTGGCTGAGTCAAATGCCATAGTGTGAAGGAAGTAACTGAATTTGCAGGTGTATAGAAGTGTATGGTCATTCGAGTCTACCAGCAGTGGCAAAAATCCCAGCCCACAGGAAATTCTCGTCACATACCACAGGAAAAGATTCTGACGGGACAAATTTCTATTGGCCATTTCAAGAATTTAACCTGTTGTTTAAAACTTAACAATGAAATGAAAATAGAAATAAAATGCGTGGTTGCTGCCTTTTTGTTCTGTTGCACTGTTATCGTTATAAGGTCACCCAAACTCCAAAAACGACACAATTCACAAACTGAGGCAAAACATTAATGAATCAAACATGCATCAATAACAACTGAATACACTTCATTCCCTTTGCTTTCTACTATTTGGCCACATGAGCAGTAAAACAACACCATAACAAGAACCGATACAGCACTTTGTGTCATGGTCACCAGTGTGATAGGTACTGTGGCCTCAAGATGGCAAACCAGACTATCTTCGAGATCCTCAAATGAAAAAAACTGAACACACACATACATAAATAGCCAGAGGACCCTCAACACCCCCTGCCATCCCCCAACCACCAAACTGACACAAATCACTTTTACACACTGCAGGAACTCTGGAGCCATAACTCACACAGCGAGAGAGAGGGAGATGGTGGAGGTGAAGTAGGTCTCATTAAATTCTAGGTATGACATTGGTTGCAACCAGGCTACAAAACATTAGGATAACAATCCTATACTCTGCAATCACTACAGGATATAATGCAATAGTACAGAAAACTAATAGCAAAGGACCAAAAAGCTTTGCATTCTGAAAACTAGATTCACATTTCACTATAGTGCACTATATTGGGAGTCCATTTCTAATGGTGTCTGAAAATGCTATAGTGAGTATTTAGGGCACTCTTACAATCCACCAATGCACTGCAATAGGTAGCATACAAATTCCATGTAAACCATGATAGAAAATGCCCATAATGCAATACATAATGTATTTGATGGAATGTGGCTACTCTCAAACTGTGATTAAGTGAGCTAGATAGTAATGAAGAGAGAATGAGGGCCGTTTCTGTTCCCTAAAATAGAGTTCTATATAGTAAGGAATAGTGATTGAGGGCCATTTCTGTTCCCTACAATAGAGTTCTATATAGTAGGGAATAGTGATTGAGGGCCATTTCTGTTCCCTATAATAGAGTTCTATATAGTGGGGAATGGTGATTGAGGGCCATTTCTGTTCCCTATAATAGAGTTCTATATAGTAAGGAATCGTGATTGGGAGTCATTTCTGTTCCCTATAATAGAGTTCTACATAGTAAGGAATAGTGATTGGGAGCCATTTCTGTTCTCTATAATAGAGTTGTACATAGTGGGGAATGGTGATTGAGGGCCATTTCTGTCCCCCTAAATAGAGTTCTATATTGTAGGGAATAGTGATTGGGAGCCATTCCTGTTCCTTATAATAGAGTTGTATATAGTGGGGAATAGTGATTGACGGCCATTTCTGTTCCCTATAATAGAGTTCTATATAGTAGGGAATAGTGATTAAGGGCCATTTCTGTTCCCTAAAATAGAGTTCTATATAGTAGGGAACAGTGATTGGGAGCCATTTCTGTTCCCTATAATAGAGTTCTATATAGTGGGGAATAGTGATTGGGAGCCATTTCTGTTTCCTATAATACAGTTCTATATAGTGGGGAATAGTGATTGAGGGCCATTTCTGTTCCCTAAAATAGAGTTCTAGATAGAAGAGAATAGTGAATGGGAGCCATTTCTGTTCCCTATAATAGAGTTCTATATAATGGGGAATAGTGATTAGGGGACTATTTCAAACAGTGTTGGTCTTGGTTGCTGCATGAAATAATGAACACGTGAGTAAAACCCCTGCCATGGAAATCAATCGCAGCACAAAGTCGGTAGTTCTGACAGTCATGAAAAGCAGTCCACAGCTGGAACTGCTCATCACCACAACACCATGGCCTTTTCGGAGGCAATTAGCCAGCTAATGTCACTTCCTCCACTCTCTAACTACCTCCACTGTCTCTCTGTGTCTTTCTCTTCTTGTTTGTTCTAGTTGGCCTTACAGCTCTTAGTGCTTACCATATCTTTGTAATTGCTTTGTCTATGTTCAATTCTGCTGGGAAAGGAGGCAAAAGTTTAAGTAATAGTTTGGCAAAAAAGAAATCTAATGCTGCACTTAGAAGTGGGAAGTTGCAGCTCAAAATTGCATCATTTTTGTCTGGTTTGAGCTATAAAGTGGGAAAAACATGCCTCCAAGAAAGTGAGTATTGCTAGCAAAAAGCTAGCCAGCTAACGTTAGTGATACAAGTTATAACTTTAATGATGCACTGAGGTATTTGTCACATTTCCAAGTGATGCGCTTTCATCAAACATAGCATTATTTTCACCTTTTTGCATCTTCCACCAAACAAACTTGATCTTAGTTCCTTAAGTTTTGCAGGTTGACCCACAATAGAAGCTAAAAACAAGCAGTTCAGCATGTGTGGTAGTTACTCAACAACCACTAAATAGTAACTAGTACTCTCAAACTCTAATTGGATTATTTTACTTATAACCCCCTGGCAAGAGTGTCATGATTTAGGCAGCATTTTGCACAATGTTAATCAGTGCACATAAGCTTCCATTTCCTGTTAGCTATACTAGTCAAGTAGCTTCTGTGCAAAGCTAAAGAAGCAAATTTTGGGGCAAATCATCATTGGAACAAAACCTCATATCTCCAGTACTGTAATTTTACACAAGAAGGAAAAAAACATCTTAACTTGTAATGGTAACTTGTAACTACATTAACCTGTAAGTTAACAGAACAAGATTTTTTCCAGGTATTTTTGGACCATTTCTGTTGGTCCATTCATCATGAAATTTTAACAGTGCAAAGGGGAATGTACATTTTCAAATGATCTAAAAACATAAAAATGGACAAAAGGACAAAAGGAAACAAAAGTGGAGAAAAAAGAAAAACAGCAACGAAATATTGGGTCTAACTTTATTTGGATAGTCCACTATAGTCCCCTATAGGTCATCTATAGATGTTTAATTATTAACAAACTATCTGGTGAAACTTCATTGATTTTAAACAGTGGTGGGGTTAGGGTTAGGATTTGGACCAGGGTTAGGGTTGGGTATAGGTTTTGGGTTGAGGTTGAGGTTCGGATTAGGTTTTAGAGTTTAGAGTTTAAGAAAATCATGGTTCATTTAGTAGATATTTAGTTGAATGTGCTTGAACTTGAAAGTAAATTAAGTATCTAGAAAGCATCTAAATAAATCCAAATAAAGTGTTACAAAATATTGGCACACAAGTGTAGCAAAGTGCACTAGTAAGTTCAAACACACATACAGGGACACACACATGTGCACTACTGCATTAAGATGCTCTGTCAGTGTGTAAAGGTCAGCTTATCTCCCAGAGTAATGACTTTGACCTTTTTGGGATGTGGCAGCAACGTAAGCACTACAAGACAAGGCAAAGGCCGAGGATGGCGCCACTTTTAACCGGCCCCTCGCGAGTGAACGTGTGTGTGTGTTTTCATCTAATGCACTAGACATTCCCTGCAAAAACACAAGCATTGATTTTAGACTAGAATAGATACTACTATTGCAGCATTAAAGGAATACTGCAGTGTTTTTCAACCTAATCTCTCTGTGATGCATCTGTGATCTGTATGGTACCATCGATTCTCATGGACAGCAAATGTAATGCATTATTCTGTAACAGAAATCCTGTCTACTCAAAACACATTTACAACAGAAGCTAAAGTTTGAACTCTCCCAGTCAAAGGACATTGATTTTCTGAGTGTAAA